CTTCCACCTCAGCCTTCCGAGTAGCCAGAATTACAGGCATGCACTACCACGCCCGGCTGATTTTTTAATTTATTTTAGAGATGAGGTCTCGCTGCCCAGACGGGTCTCGAACCCACGGGCTCAGGCAATCCACTCACCTCAGCCTCCCAAAGGCGCGGGATTACAAGCTGAGCCACCGAGCCCGGCTGTGACTAAAATTTTTTGCCAGGTAGGGCACAGTGGCTTACGCTTATAATCTCAGCACTTTGGAAGGCCAAGGTGAGAGGATTACCAGAGCCCATTGGTTCAAGATCAGCCTGGGCAACTTGGTGAGACAATAAATCAAGAAAAATTTGCTGGGTGTGGCAGCACACAACTGTAGTTCCAGCTACTTGGAAGGCTGAGTCAGAAGGATCTCCTGAGCCCAGCAGGTTGAGGCTGTGGTGGCCTTGAGTGGGCCACTGCCCTCTAGCCTGGGTGACAGAGTGAGACTCTGACTCAAAAAAAAAAATTTTTTTTTTTTGGGCTAATCTCTTTCTTTTGGTTCATATTTCTCTAAGTACAAAGAGGACTGAGCATCTTTTTTTTTTTTTTTTCCGGTAAGTTTATGAGTTATTTATGCTTCCTCTTCTGTGAAATATCTTTTTATATTTTTTGCCCATTTTTCTATTAGAATGTCTTTTACTTATTGATTCATATAAATTCTCCAGATACTAATCCTTTGTTAGATGTGTATCTTATAAACATTTTTTCACACTTTGTGGCTTGTATTTTCAGTCTCTGTGGCATATTTTGATGAACGGAAGTTCTTAAGCAGGATTGAATTAATCAACCTTATCCTTTATAGTTGACACCTGCTGTGTCTTATACAACAAAAATTTTCTACTTTAAGGTCCTAAGAATATTCTAAAATTTAATACTTTTGCCTCTTTAGTACATATTTAATTCTTTAATTCATCTGGAACTAATTTTTGTGTGTATAGTATAAGAGATTCACTTTCTTTCTTTCTTTTGGTAAATGAGTAATTCACTGTCCCAAAATCAATTGTTGAAAAAATATCTATCCTTTCCTCATGATCTATAATGTCTGATGTATCACAAGTATATATATAGGTGAATTTGTTTCTGAACTACTATATATTGAATTTTGATATCTGATTGGGCAAATCTTTTCACACTGTATTTCTTTTTTTTTTTTTTTTTTTTGAGTTGGAGTCTCACTCTGTCATCCAGACTGGAGTGCAGTGGCTACTCCCGGCCACTGCAGCCTTGACCTGCTGGGCTCCAGCGATCCTTCCGCCTCAGCCTTTCAAGTAGCTGGAACTACAGGTACGTGCTACCACGCCCGGCTGATTTTTTATGTATTATAGAGATGAGGTGTCTCCAAGTTGCCCAGGCGGGTCTCGAACCCACGGACTCAGGCAATCCACTCACCTCAGCCTCCCAAAGCACGGGATGACAGGCTGAGCCACTGAGCCCAGCTTGTATTTCTTTAGAAGTATATTTTTGGTTATTGACAGACTTTTCTTTCATGCAAATTTTAGAATTATCCTGACAAATTTTTTAAAAATACCCTACTAGAATTTTTATTGGCATGTCAATGAATCTACAGATAAATTTAGGTAGAATCAATACCTTTTTAATAGTGTATATTCTAATTTAAGATCTTAATATTTATTTTGATTTTATTATTATTATTGTTATTATTATTAAGTTGGAGTCCCAACTCTGTTGACTGGGCTGGAGAGCAGTGGCACAATCACAGCTTACCACAGCCTTGACTTCCTGGACTCAGGCAATCCTTTGGCCTCAATCCCCTGAGTAGCTAGGACTACAGGTGTGTGCCAACTACACCTGGCTAATTTTCTGACTTTTTTGTAAAGATGAGGTCCTCCTATGTTGTCCAGGATGGTCTCAAATTCCTGGGCTCAAGAAGTCCTCTTATCTCAGTCTTTAAAAGTGCTGGGATTACAGGCATGAGTCACCATGCCCAGCCAGAGCTTCTTTATTATTGTTCAGTGATTATAATTTTCTCCAAAAGAGGCTTATACATTTTATGTTAGACTTAGTATTTCATCTTTTAAAGTGCTATTTAATTTAATTAATTTTTTTTTTTGAGTTGAGGTGTCACTCTGTCACCCAGGCTAGTGTGCAGTGGCATGTTCATGGCTCACTGCAGCCTCAACTTCTTGGGTTCAGGTAATCCTTCCACCTTAGTCTCCTGAGTAACTGAGACTACAGGTGTCCGCCACTACACATGGCTAATTTTTTTATTTTTGTAGAGAAGAGGTATCACTATTGTTCCCTAGGCTGGTCTCAAATTCCTGGGCTCAAGCAATTCTCTTGCCTTGGCCTCCTAAAGTGCTGAGATTACAGGCATGAGTCACCTGCACCTGGTCTCAATAGCTATTTTAAATAGTATATTTTCTAAATTGCTTATCTAAACAACTGCTTATCTAAAAAACAGAAAATACATGCCAGGTGCAGTGACTCACACTTGTAATTCCAGCACTTTGGGAGGCAGAGGCAAGAGGATTGCTGAGCCCAGGGGTTTCAGACCAGCCTGGACAACTTGGCGAGACCTCATCTCTACAATAAATCAAAAAGTTAGCCAGGCACTGTGGCACACGCTTGTGGTTCCAGCTAACTCAGAAGGCTGAGACAGAAGGACAGCCTGAGCTCAGCAGGTTGAGGATGCGGTGGCCGTGAGCATACCACTACACTCCAGCCTGGGTGACAGAGTGAGACTAACTCAAAAAAAAAATACAATGGACTTTTGTATGTTGACTTTTATATCCATGAACTATGTTAGGCTTCAAAATATTTAATAATAGGCCAGGCTTAGTGACTCAGCCTATAATCCCAGCACATTGGGAGGTCAAGGTGAGTGGATGGCCTGAGCCCGCAGGTTGGAGACCAGCTTGGGTAATGTGGTGAGACCTCATCTCTGCAATACATCAAAAATTAGCCAGGCATGGTAGCGTGCACCTATAGTTCCAGCTACTTGGAAGGTTGAGGTGAAAGGATCGCCCGAGCCCAACAGGAGTGGTCGTGACTGTGCCACTGTACTCCAGACTGGGTGACATAGTTGGAGTGAGACTCCAACTAAAAAATAATAATAATAATGATAATAATAATAATAATAATAATAAATCTGTGGATTCTTTGGGCTTTCTAAGTAGACATTATATAATATCTAATAGTACCAGATTTATTTCCTTATTCCTTTCTGACTCTTATACCTTTTAATTATTTTTTTTGTCTTACTACACTGGCTAGAACATCTAGTACTATGCTAGAAATAGTGATAGCTAGTGTCCTTGCTTATTCCTAATTTTAAAGAGAAGGTTTAAAACATTTTTTTTTTTTTTTTTTGAGTTTGAGTCTCACTCTGTTGCCCAGACTGGAGTGCAGTGGCTGCTCCCGGTCACCGCAGCCTCGACCTGCTGGGCTTGGTGATCCTTCCGCCTCAGCCTTCCAAGTAGCTGGAACTACAGGCGCGCGCTACCACACCCGGCTAATTTTTTGATTTATTGTAGAGATGAGGTCTCGCCAAGTTGCCCAGGTGGGTCTTGAACCCACGGTCTCAGGCAATTCACTCACCTCAGCCTCCCAAGGTGCGGGATTACCAGTATGTATAATGTAGCCTGCAGATTTTCTGTGGGTCTTCTTAAAATATTTAACGGTGCATTTCTTAATTTCCAAGAGTTTATCATAAATCAATGATAAATTTTGTCAGATACTCCCACCATTTTCTTGAGATGAAGACCATGTTTTTGCTCCTCTAATCTATTACATAATAAATTATATTAATTGACCTTCCCAAAATTAATCAGCCTTGCATTGATGGGATAAAGCCAACTTGGTTGTCCCGTATTATTTTATTCATTGCTGGATTCAGTTTACTAATATCTATATGAGGATTTTGCTGGTCATGAGTGGCAAAGCCATCTTTTTAAGGATGCAAAGGGGAGCAGGATAGATAAAAGAAAATTTCTGGTGTTTCACTCTGCAGTGTTTCACTGCCATCTTGTGGCCATAAGTAATATCAGAAGTACATAGCTTTAAAATCTTAGCCAAGGTTTTTCACACTTAGAGACTATACATCATTTAGTGAAGCTCTTCAGAGAAAGCCAGAAACAAATTCCAACTAAATGATGTACTAAAAAGTACTGGAAAACTTCAGCCCTTCCAAGATCCCTGTGGTTCAACCTATGGATTAAAAGCTGAATGGTAATCGCTCCAGATAAGGGTTTCTCAATTTCGGCCTGGTCATGATTCAGCCAACTCTGACTATATGAAGATGTCAATAGGAATGCTAATCTCCACTAGTAAAATTACTTCAGCTCTTTCCCAGAAGCACATTGGATTCCACAATTCACCAAGCTGTGTACTTTGTTGTTGTTCTTTCTTTGGCACTAATAGATACGGAGATTTAGTTTTTAATGGAATGGTGAAAGGAGAAATAATTTGTTAATGAGAAATGTGACAGGATGAACTGGCTTAAATCTTATGCCATCCTATACAGACAGTTTGGATGATCATTAGAATCAGAAACGTTCTTAGATACAGAGTCTTCAGGAAGAGGCTTACCATTCTGGAACTGTGTCTCTACACGCAGGTACTGCCGGAGGAGATCCATCACCACAGCCTTCATGTGGCCTCGGATGCCACTTCGGTACCTAAGCAAATAGAAAATCTCCAGTGATAAACTTCACAGGCCAACATCATTAAATAATATGCTCAAAGGGCAAATTTACTTTCCAGGCTTTTCCCTGAATTGCTTTCCCTCTGAATAAAGGACAGCCTAGAAGCAACTAACAGGACTAATTTAAATTCCAAGACTAAAAGAAATCTTGCTATAGACAAGACTTTTTTTTTTTTTTTGAGTTGGAGTCTCACTCTGTTGCCCAGACTGGAGTGCAGTGGCCGCTCCCGGCCACCACAGCCTCGACCTGCTGGGCTCCGGTGATCCTTCTGCCTCAGCCTTCCAAGTAGCCAGAATTACAGGCATGCACTACCACGCCCAGCTGATTTTTTGATTTATTGTAGAGATAAGGTCTCGCTGCCCAGGCAGGTCTCGAACTCGTGGGCTCAGGCAATCCACTCATCTCAGCCTCCCAAAAGTGCGGGATTACAGACTGAGCCACTGAGCCCAGCAGGCAAGAATTTTTTAAAAAGGAAAAGACAAAAGCAAAAATTACATAGCCCTACCTAAAAATACCCTGATTCAGTTCCTACTACTGAATAGAAATTATTAGCACACTCTTGAAAAATGGCTAAGAGACATCTGAAAAATGTACATCTTTTTTTTTTTTTTTTTTTT